ATAATGACAGAAGAATTGACAAACAAAAATCTTGCTTCTGTTTTGTCTGTGCTTGCATGTGTGAGTGCATGTGTGTGGGTGTGTGTGTGTGTGTGTGTGTGTGTGAGAGAGAGAGACACACACACAGAAAGTCTGCCTAAATCCTTCCATCTGTTGAGCAATAACAAACCTCCCATTAGATCAGGCTGAATGGAGGAAATAATAAACAAAAATATTCCAGATCACCGATTTCCTAACTATAGAGACAAAGTCTTCGCCACCACACAAACCACATATATTTTTAAATGTTAATGTAGTTTCACTCACTACAATTAAGCACACACCTATCCCTTCACGTGTTAATTTTAAAAGCACATATGATTTTATCCTGAAAAACATTTTTGTAAGTAAGAGTGATGACTTGACTCAAAGCTATAGCTACCAAACCTTTTAATTTTATGCCACTGGTTACCAGTTTAACTCTGTGTCAGTGTCTCCATGTGCAAACAGTAATGTACCCTTGAATCTTCCATTAACGCTATCTGAAAAATATGGAGCTATAAAACACTGCATTTTCAAAAATGGTATATTGTATTGTTTTTTAAAAGGTTGTAGGGACTCCATAAAAAGATGAAGAATCTTTAAATCGCACCCTCAATTGTGCATTGTGCTTGTGCAAATTGTCAAATACTGTGCTGAAAGATGTTCCAGCCCAGATGTGCAAAGTTGATTTATAGAGAAGCGAGAGAATTTATTCCACAAAGGCCATCAATATTCATTCAGACCTAAATTCTATCAGCAAATACTGATGAATAATCCAACGTGATGATCCTCAAAAGAATATGTGCATCATTAGCAGCGGTGTCATTTCTTGTGTTTAATAGGAATTCTTCAGCTAATTGGATTGTCATGTTGAGGAGAATATGCGAAGCAGCACTGTGTTGATTGTAGTAGTTCAAAGCTTCCAAATAAAAATGTTGTTTTTATCCAATCTGGGCTCTCAAACAGTGTGAAACCAACTAAACATCAGTTTGTAGCCATCTGGTGTAGTCCCTGTATGCTGAGAATGCAGTGGTAATATCATAAAATATTGTATGGTCATATGTTTTGTTAATATATGGTAGTCTACCATCATGGCAGTAACTCCATTCCACTGTACACTGTACCTCATATTGTACCATTATGCAAAAACTAGCACTTTATTGCCATATCATGTGCAGAGTATTTACAAACTATCTAATGTAAATGCAAAAGTAGTACATTACCATCATTAGTATTCCTAAACTCAGTTTTCTTGCTGTTGATTCGAGCTAGTATTATGTTATGTATTATGTATTAAGTATTATGTTAATTGTGTGTGTGCACATTTCTGATGTCTGATAATTGGTATGTGAATGGGTGTGTATTTTCGTAGAGTATTAAGAGCAATGCAAATCCCTTGGACTTAGATTCAAAGGAGTTATATGTGACTGACAAGTCTCTGTTTATAACACCCTCCCTACTCTCCCCCTTTCTCTTTGTATTTTTTTCCTAAGTCATTTTATCTTTCTGCCTGTCTCGTCCCCTCTCCATCAAAAACATTTGCATGCGTTTTTGCCCACACCGTTCCCTAATGATGGTTCAGGCCCTGGATTCTGGGTACTATGATGAAAATGAGCACAGGATATTTGCATCTTTCGGGCTAATCCACTTTTAATGTGTCCCAGGCCCTTAATCAGCTTCTTTTATTTGTGAGTCTGGCACGTTGGGTTTAAAGGTGTTAATTACAGTTCAGTTTTAGAGATGCAGCTGTCTACTCCTCTTAGAGAACATGAGGACAGAGAAATGTGTGTGCGCATGTGTCCACATATGTGGAGATGGATGTGTGGCCCAATGAAATAATGAATTATACACACATAAAATCAACAAAAATCATGATCCTATATATGACCTGGATGATGTGTATATATAGCACAGACTTGCCAGGAGGGTGTGTACTCAAACGCACACACAAATACCACTGACATCTTCTTATGGCTTTTCATTACCCTGTCACTGATAAAAGAATTTCATTTCTGGTGGGGACATTGTTTATTACAGTTAGACCTCTCATTATAGATTTCTTTTTATCAGTTTTGTCTTTCAATTTAACAAAAAAACTCCACAAAAGCATTAGGACCTGTGATACTTTGCAACAGCAGCCTCAAAAGCAAATATAAAGCTACATTTTATTCAAATCTGTATGTAAGCCACCATTTCCATCATTAGCATGGGTTGACAAAAGAGACACACATATAAACTGATATACCTGTATATTACTTTTAAGAACAATGGTTTATGACGAGGAGGAAAGGCTGAAGAGAAGAATGAGAAAACAAATTATTAGAGACAAAAAGGAAAGCTTTCACAAGTTTTTTCGCATTCATCACATCTCATTGCAAACACTGTTTTGTCAAAGCCACCGCTGTTGTGTCGGTCACTTCTGTTTACTTTTTGATTACTGCTGCCATTTTGGGGACTTCCCCGACATGAACAAAAAACAAAACAGGCAGTTTTCAGATACATCAAATTTTGGACTTGGCCTCAACAATGTTTCAGTGATTTTGGCTGCTCAAATCACTCATAGCTAGTTTTACACTGAAACTAACCCTATGTCTGTCTCAGACACACACTTGTACTAAACCAAAAACATCAATGAAACACAGTTTACCTATATACCTATTCACAAATAAAGTAGTAAGTCAGATCAGTGTGCGGTAGTTTGTTTTTAGATTTTACATGTTTACCTACTTTGTATCTTCTTGTTACTTTAATGTGAATGCTCTTACAAAATTAGATTTCAACAAACATCGAGTCTTAGTTCCTTTGATTTAAAGAAAGAGGATTTCTTTCTAGTCTTACTATTTTTCAACAATGAAGAACCAGCAAAATGTTATTTTTATTTGAATGTTCCTCATCTTTCCATCCATGTAATCAGTAGGTCTAAATTAAATCTTATTTGAGCTGCCATTTGTGATCAACACCATCTCAATCCATGTGTGTGTGTTTGTGTGTGTGTGTGTGTAGGAGGAAAGGGACACTGCAGAATCATTTGAGACTGTGTTTTTTAATTTGCAAATGAAATGAAAAAATGGAAAAGAGAAAATACTAAAAATGTGTGTGTGCTTGTATTAGAGACAGAGATGGAGGGTTAGTAGAAAGATGAAGGGAAAATGAAAGAGTTTGCCAGAAAAGAATTGTCTCAGCTGTGTCTATAAGATGCAAGGTATGTGTGTGTGTGTGTGTGTGTGTATGGGTTTAGATGTCTCCCTCTGATCTGCAGGCTGAGACTAGATTCACACCTGCTGAAGATTTTTTTCCCAGACACTCAGAAATCTGTCACCTCCACATTGCTGTCTCTCCTCGTCTCTCTCTTGCTGTCGGGTTTTCAATGATCTTTTTCCCACCCTTCCTCTCGTCTTATTTCTTTCTTTAACTTTTATATATAATATATTTCACACTTCTGCATTGGGTTTTAGGGCACAGACTCTTTTTCTCACAGAGATGTGCTCCTCTTTTTATAACCCTCTAACTTATTTTCATCTCTCTCTGCTCAGCAGCACTCTTCTCATTATTCCTTCCTTTCTCACTCTCATACTCACCTCTCTTGTGACTCCATCATCTGTCCTTTTGTTCCTCCCAGTACAATTTAAGAATATGTGTGGTCATGAACTTCCACATGCAAAAGAATGTAACAGAATTAAGTGCATTTACCTTAAATATAATGAGTTAAAGACACTAAAGAAAAATATAGTTAAGTATGGTATAGTTATAGTAATTCAGTCCTTCAAACATCAACACCTGGCTTCACAACATCATCTCAGTGGAAGGACTTGGAAGTTAACTACCATGCAGCACTTAAAAGAGTATTATTCACTTTCCCCAGCTATAGTTTGAAGCCTCTGTAGTAATTGCTGTCTGATGTTCCCAGACAGCTGACGTTTCCAGATGGGTCTTGTGTTTTGGGTGTGGCAGCAGAGATCTTAAAGGATTTGTTTGAACACACAGAAAGAACACCCTTTTTCAGAAAAACGTATGATACCACTCTCATGTCTGTGTGACAAATATGGAGCTACAGCCAGCATAACAGAACAAAGAAAATAGCAAGCCTGACTCAAGCACCTCTAAAGCTCAGTAATTAAAACCGAAGTCCAGCTACGTCTGTTTACTTGGCCAGGCAAGAAATAGTGTGGCACATAACCCCCAGAACAAACATCTAATTTTAACACCCACAACTTGTTGCTCATTTCAGTTTTTGTGTGGATGAAACAAACAACATATAGCGTGTTGTTGCCTTCACACAGACCCCGGCTAGCTGGTTCATCCTGTTTCTGTGTCTATGTGCTGAGCTAAGCAAACCAACTACTGTTCATATTTATCATATAGACATTAGAGTGGTACTGTATTTATCTCCTCACCTCATTTTCACAATGTGAAAAAGAATGTAAAATGTCGGACTACTCCTTGAAGTTGTGGTGGGATTCTCATCATCCTCTCCCTCAGACTTGCTCCATCTCCCTCTCTATCCACCTCCTCACTAATGTGATGTTTTTTTCTTTGTGTAGGAGGGTCCTCCTGATCTTTTATGCTGTCAGTGTTAGTTAAAGTAAAATTTTGATGAACTAAGCCAAAAACCATCCTTTCACAGAGACATGGGTTATGATAAAGTGGCTAACTTGAACACTACCTCAGACTCAATAATGCCATGGCAGTTTAGTCAGATTATCATGGACAATCATATCAAACATCTGTCCTACTACTTCCCCACAACCGCTGTAAGGTCCCCTGCGAGCTGACTCACCTGTACGGGATTGCCATAAAGAAGAGCCCTCTGGTCCTTATACTGCTTCCCAAAGGCATTTTTGAGCTTCCTCTTGTCTGAAACTATCCAGAATTACCTCAACCTGGGGGCTTAAACATACCATCCTAGGACCATCCTGGAGATTTGATGAATAATAAAGTGCCTAAAGTCTACAAAGTAACTTGTGGGTTCTTTGTGTTAGTTAAGGTGAGTAATACCAGTACTGACTTTATTACTAATACTGTGTTTAAATTCATGAAAATATCACAGAATTATAAAATGCCATTGTTTTCTTCAGTGCATGGTACCTAAATTCCACAAAATATTTGAGTAACATTATGTATTTTTATCTTAAAATAACAGCTAAATAATTTTATTGCTACACTGACTTGTAATAGGGTGAATGGAGTTTCTGTCATTTCCACTCTGGGCTCCTATTCGCTAGATATGTAACATTGGAATCCATGCAAGACATTTATCATCACAACAGCGTAGTGATTTGTAACACCACCACGCAGAGCCGGCCCTAGACCTTCAGGGACCCTAATAAAATTTAGTTGGAGGCCCCTCTGACTGTCGGGCGTTGTCACTACACAGAAACGTCTCTTGTTTTTAAATAAGACCTGAAGAATCTTTCTTATATTCTTAAACCTGCCATGTTTGTTTAGCACAAAAACACAAAAGCAAATTTCTTAAACCTGTTTGACAATAAAGCTGATTCTGATGAAAAACAATAACTAGATTATACTCTATATTATTATATCTACAATGTTTGATGTCAAACTGGAAACATACGATACCACCAGTGCTACTGAGCTTAATGGCAGTGCAACACCCAATAGACACTGATGAACTTAGTTCTGGATAAAATGACTGATAAAGTGATTATGACCAAAGCTTAAATCGTTATTGACAACCAGACAATCGATTAAGAGACAAAAACTACATAACAGTTGATAGCATCACTTTTCTCAACCAGAAAATACTTTTACTGTCTGAGTGTCTTTTTGGAAAAGTCCTGGTAAGTAACTGGTCATTAAGGACTGATGGCCAGTCAGCTGGATCCTCTGGAGGAGTAGAAATTAGAGAGTCAGGTGTGGTAGTAAGCACGATGGTACTGCTCTCCACTTCAGTAGGCCGAGGTAGACCTATGAGGGAGATTAACAAATAAAAAATAAGCAAAAAATAAGTAATTTTAGCAAGTTGACATGTTCATACACTTCGTGTTCCTAGAGGTGAATAATTGTTGATGTACGCCTAAAACTTACCAGCACTGTCAGCTTCTTGGATGAAACCAATGATGGAGGTAGAGGTGGAGGCTGATGGACCTGCTATGAAATAATAAAAAAATATAAATAAATTGACTGAACTGAAATGACTGACTTGTGTTTTTAGAGGTGATAGATCTTATAATTCAAGACAATCTGCCAGAGTTTGATTCTGTCTCCTTTTAAAAAGTGACTTTAGATAAGATGTCTTTTCAACACTGGCAGCTTTGGAGGAGGCTCCATAATGTCTCTCAACAATCAGTCCTTTAAAACAGCTACTGTTTTAAGTACTCCCTACAAGACAGATTTGATATATAATGAAAGAACAGGGCATCTCTGTAAGTTTAACTAAAACACATAACCTACCAGCAGAGTCAGCTTCTTAGGTGATATGACCTGTTGAAACCTGACCCATCTGGTTTTGTTCAGGTAAATGCTTTATAACTTTAGATTTGAACAGCTCAGCTCCAGAGATAGTTAGATAGAAAAAAGATAGGCTAATGGCTTAAATTGGAGAAGACCCATGTCCTAATAACACTATTAATCTAATCAACTGACTTTAACAATGCAAGTTAATCCTATACTATGGTATAATATTAATACTATACTATATTTATGCAGTTAGCATGTTAGCAAGCTATAGCGTTAGCATTGTTAAAAGATAGGCTAATGGCTTAAATTGGAGAAGACCCATGTCCTAATAACACTATTAATCTAATCAACTGATTTTAACAATGCAAGTTAATCCTATACTATGGTATAATATTAATACTATACTATATTTATGCAGTTAGCATGTTAGCAAGCTATAGCGTTAGCATTGTTAATACCAGCGCGGCTAACTAAGACTAATGTAAGACCTTTAGTGCAGATTATCTAAAAAACAGGCATAGGAAATGGAGCTTGTGGCCTTAACTTACGTACCTTTATCTTCTTGCCTCCTCTCTTCTGTTGTCTTTTTACATGTCCAGACAAATATGATCTTCTCTTGTCAGACGTCAAGCGAGTGATGTCGGTGATGTCACAGGGTCAGTCAAGGTTAGGAGTCACAGGTCACAGCTGATTTTCCAAAGTAAATTAAATAAACACTATGCTTATTATGGTGCGTAATAAAAGAGCTTTCTTTCATTTTATTTTTATTATTTTACGTTTCTTTTGTCAGTGATTTTCTTCCACCACTAGCAAGCAGTGACTGTAGGGGGCCTCTGCTGGCCACGGGGCCCTAGGGCAACATAACTGAGCTCAGCAGCCTCTAAGGACAGAAGAGGATGCTGTCCGAGGAAGTTAAGAAGAAAAAAAGAAAGTGACCTACCAAGCAAAAGGCTAGCGCTTTGTGAAATAAAAGGCTGCAAGACACAGAAATGGCAGTCTTTCTGTGTAGACAGTTGGACTAGTAAGTAATATTGCTTTGTCTCATGATGATGCACTTACTTGATGTTTGGCTGTGTTAGCAAAGTTGGTAACTTGCTAGTTTCTGATCATAATGTAATCATAACAAATGCTAGTGGACAGTTTAGTTATGACAGCCAGGAATTACACTCTGAAACAGTAGGGGCGCCAAATCCCCCCCCCCCAAAAAACCCATGTTACATTATGTTGCTTTTTTTGAGATAAAATAGCTGATTTTTGAGAAAATAGCACAATACACTGTATTACACACAGTGCAAAGTATATGCTGTGAAAAATTAACGAAAGATGAAATCCAAGTATTGTATAAGTCAGGCTTCTCTAAGTCTAAGTCTTTTTTATTAGTTTTTTCTTAGCAGGCTCAGCACACACATACCGATGCTCAAGCAGGAACACACACACACAGAGGGTGAGCCCTTATTTTACAATAATGCTATAGCACTGTGGCGTTGACAGTTGTTGCTAATCCAAAGAAAAGAACATCTGAGCTATGAGGTCAAGATGTTTTGGAATTTCTGTCATGCTAACCGTCGTTGTTTGTGGAGTACATGTGTCAGTGCTGAGATATTTACAGGGGGGCTCAAGCAAAAACAAAAGACACTAAGCATGCAGAAATAGTTCAGGAGAGTGGGTGCATTATTATTATAAGTGGGATCACTTCTGTATGTCATTGTTATGTTAATATTATATATCATACATGAGCAGCAGAGCAAAGGGTCACTTGATTCAGATATTCTATCTTTTTATAAATAGGCTGTATAAAGTGGGTCTTGGCATTTCCTCACGTAGAACGCAATTATGTTGATAATTATTTTATAAGATAAATTTGGAGAAAGGGCCACACATTAATGGTAACAATGAAGTGAAAGTATTTATAGAGTTTTTGGTAAAGCCAACCCAACCACCTGTTCTTCTAACTATTTACTGGGATAGACCACCATGTATGTGAGAGTGTTTGTGTGTGTGTGTGTGTGAGAGAGAGATAGAGAGAAAATGAGGCGAACAGAAGATCACTGAAACATAACACCACAGTATTCAAAGTATATCCAACAATGGTGACTAGTATATAGTTTAGTTTAATAAGCATATGTAGACCATGGCAAAACGATTAACCACCATTAATATTATGTGTTACTTGATAACCCTATCACAACAGCTACAGATTTGCGCGAAATACACAATGGCTCTTTTTATTTTATTTATTTGATGTCATATTTCATAAAAAAATCATTTATTTTAGTGATGTTACCGTTAATATAAAACACTGCTGGAATCCCTGGAGTAAAAATAGAGGCATCATAGGTAATATAAAGGTTAAAAATGGAAGGGATGAACCGGTGCTTTAACTGTTTTTTTCGTAACTCCTGCTGAGAGCTGCCACCAAATCCATGCTCATTATACGTAAGTAATCAATGATCATGTTTATTAATCTTCAGCCCCAAGGAATGGGAGGTCACTATGGACAGGCCGCATAATCAGCTTAAATCAATGTACTCATACTAATTGGGTTTGGAGCCAATGGAAGGGTAAGCTTTCCCCAGAAAGGGCAGGGGTGAGGTCACCCATCTGTAGAGAAATTGAAATGATGACCTTCACATGAACCTCTCCTGACCACTGAGAAAGTGGGGCTGATTCCCTAGATTTACACTGAGGGATGTATTATGTAAAGCAGGACACAGTGAAGTAAATCCATCAAATGTGGTCGGTAGTGTTGGTATGGAATCATCTGGTCAATACTGAGCGCTAGGCAAAAGCCGTAGGCACCAAATGTGGGCATGATATCAATCAATCTAATGGTTAAACTTTATATTTTCAAACATTGAAAGTTGCAACACAGTACAATACGTAGCCCTTTGTTGCATGTCATTCCCTCTCTCTCTCCCCTAAATTTCCTGTCTCTCACATCACTTAACATTTTTCATCCAGTTAATTCACACGTTTAAAATGATAACATTTGGCCAAGATCCACCTAATTTTAACAATACCACTTTCAATCATGCTTTCAATAGACCTTTTTTCACAGCCAACATTTTGGCTGGTCATAGCAGGAAGAGCACAGGGGCTTTTGCATTTTGTGATTTATTACGTGCTGTAAATGATTTCATGTAATGGCCCCTGATCACATTTTTGAACTACTGTTTCCTTACCAACCTGTACACTGCCTGTCATTTGTGACTAAAACAGACTGAACTTTTTCTGTCAGGGCTTCTTGGGAATACCAGGAATAACGTGCCAGACTCAATTCTGAAAGGGTCTTTTATTGAAAGTTTTTGGTGCAATTTTGTACTTCAATACTTTTTGAGGTACAAAAATCGGGGGTCCCAATATCATCAAAAGAAAACACAGTGTAGAAAAAGCTTTTTTTCTGATCTCTCAACAGTAACATGAATATTAGTTGTCATTCAGTTTGTATATTTATATTTATATATTTATTGTCTGTGACAGACTTTTGTCTCAAACGTATTGCAGTAATATCATATTCTAGGAATGGTTATTCCTCAGCATCACAGGAACCTGTAAATTACTTGATAGCTGTTATGGCCATGCAAAAGGGAAGGGAAAAAGAACAGGGAATTTGGAATTTTAAAAATAACTGTTATATATTATACAATATTTATTCCCAGGTCCCGAGCTAAATTGAGCATCACTTTTTTTCCCCATTCATTGTATTGTAAGGCCGGCCAATCAATCACTGAGTACTTGCAGGGATTTGTCTTGTAAGACTGTTGTGTCGCAGTGCTATATGCAATAATTGATATAAAGGAGCAGGTTAGGAGGAATAGGGAGCTAACTTACTCAATGTTAGAGAGTGCAGGGCCCTTTGTTTGTGAGACAACACATGCTAATATTCCTCAAGAGAATTAGAATGAGTTCTCTTTATACTGTGGCAAAGCTTCATGAAGTACAATCACGTTAACACATGGACACATAACATTGAATACCAGTCAAAGTTGTCACTCTAACCAACAAAGCAAGACTTTGCCATTAGATGAGACGTTATTTTTACCAACCAATTTTGATTTTATTTGTCACAATTGACAGTTACAGCAGATCCCCTATTGCATGTGCCTTTAATTTTAGGGAAGAAAAAACACTCACCTGAATTTCAGTTAAATTTTGTGTTTTACTAACCTGGTTCCAGACCTCTGAATCTCTGGCCACATCTCAGATCTTTAGCCATTCACATACAGCAAGCTAGTGTTTAATGCATCACACCCATATTTGCCTCAAGAAATATACAGTCTTGCAACATCCTAACCTATTCCACTGATTTGTAAATTAGATTCTAGTTTATTTCTTATATCTGTCATCTGTAGTCATGTGTACATAAAAAGGATTTTATGATTGAATACCCTACTTGATTATAATGTAACGCTCTTCCCCAACCAACTAGAGTCATGTAGTTACTCTTAAGGATTTATTCCTATTTTCCTGCTTCTCAATGTCATAAATCATGTACTGACTGGGCTATGCTAGCAGCATATACGCAACCAGGGTTGGGAGGATTACTTTAAAACTGTAATCCGGTACAATTGTTAAAAAATGTAATCAATAACATAATGCAAGTACCAAAAAATAAAAGTAATGTGAACTGATTACTTTTAGTTACTTTTGGATTACTTCAATGCCAAATAGGCAAATGAAGACAAAAGTAGTATCAATGATGCGTTTTCTGCTCAGAGTTTTTTTTTTTTTGAGAAATATACAATAACTAAATCTCCTATTCTCCAAATCTATTGTCAGGAGTTATGCTAGAACCCAGATGCAGACACAGAAACAAAGCAGCAGTTAAACAGTTTATTGACTGAGGCAGGGTGAGCAAACTAGGCAAGGTGAGGTGGCAGGGAGTCTCTTTCCAAGTAGTGGAGCGTGAGGGCTGGCTGGTGTGGCTGGAAAGTTTGGATCTCGGCTTTGAGGTACTTGGAACTGGCAGGCAGGCAGGCAGAGCAGGTGATCTGGAGACAGGCAGAGAGTTAGTAAAAGCAAAGTGGGTGCTAGATTAACAGGCTTAAGGCTAGATGCTAAGGTAAGACCTTCGGTACACGACTTAACAATCCAGCAGGGAACGGAAGTCTGGTCTCTCCTTAAGAAGTAGGGATGGCTGATGAGGAACAGGTGCATCATTACCAGCAGGTGCAGCAAGTGCCAACTCAGGAAATCAGACATGCCCAGGTTTAAAAAAATCAGTCCCAAACTGAGAGATGCAGGGTTCATGACATCCCTATTTAAATGTTTTATATGATATGCTTTGCACTATGTCACCAGTATGGCAATATCTGGCATCAATGACAAAAAAAATTTGTTTTGTAGGTATTCTTGATATTTAAGTTTGTCATTTGGAAAACCACTCTGTCCAATGAAAAGATTTCTCAATGAAGCTGCTGAAGGATAGTGTTTCTCTAACAGGGCCCCACTATACAAAAGCACAACTTTTTTCACTCATTTCATTGAAATTGGATATTTGATGGAGAAATATTAGAAATATGGAGAAAATACATTCTAGTTTTCTCTCTGATGTCTCCTGGTTGCTCTTCCTCAACTCAGTTATTCACAGAGTTTCCTGATGGACAGATAGCTTTACTTGTTACAGTAGTTAACAGTTAACTAGCTGCTGTTGTTAGCTCAGTTAGCAGTGCAACCACTGGTCTAATTAGCTTACTCTGCCAGTCTATACCAAAGACTGTATAAAGGTGTTTAAGTTAAATGGGGTGCGGTGCCTGAACCCTGCTCAGCAGCCTCCCAGTGAACAGGGCATGAACAGGACCAACAGGGACGCGGTTCTATTAGTTTACTCAGCCCCGGGGTGACAAGAGCTAAACCCAGCAAGAAAACCACCTCAGTCTCGGAGGCTGTGCTCGGTCCCGGTCCAGCTGCCGTGTTTACGCACTGAGAGATGAACCAGTCTGCACAGAGCAGAGAGTAGTGTTGTGTCGTTCAAAGAACGTTTCGTTCATAAGACCTAATCGTGTGTATGACTCTGGAGGAACGGGTTGTCTCAGTGAGTCTTGGACACAGCAGCTGCATGGGCTCCGTCAGCACAGGAAGCAGAATTGATTAGTTCACGACTCTCAACTGTGGGTCTCCAGGTCTGAGTCGTTCATTTGTCTCGTGACAGCTCCTTTTGTGGAGCAGGAATGAACCACTCGTTCAACGCTCACATGGGTCCTCCTCAGTCTTTTCGTTCATTCGGCAGGCTGAGTTACTGCCAGCGCCGGAGAATGAGCGGCAGGTCAGCTGTCAGGTAACAGTCACTGGACTGATTATATAGCTATTTTGTTAATTATGTGACATTTTATAAAGCGTACCGTTATTTCAGCGCAGTGATGTTGTGCTAAGTTATAGTTTTAACACAGCTGTACCATAACTTTAGTCCAGCTAGTGTTTAACATTACAGCTAACAGCTGATGAGAGTTGTTGTGGGTCCACTTCAGAGCCCTGACAGGGTTCTACCGGGAGCTGAATTACCTCAGAGGTCGTCTCTCCTCTCCAAAACAAACGGACCCGGTCATTAAAACATTAAAACACAGCCACGTAGCAACATTAGCGTTCGCCCTGTAAACAGCTAACAGCTGATCCAGGTCCGCCAGAGAACGCAACGTAACTTTCCTTTTTATTTACCAACGGAGCCCTGCTGTTGTTTCACAGCTCTTGGCTGGTGAACAACCTGCAGTGTTTGAGAGCGATGCACTCATGTGCGTTTCTCTGTCTGCAGGATCAGAACCTGATGTGGCCCATTCTGCTTCAAGAACTGCCAAACTGCTGCGTTTATATGTGTTTATTTCTTTGTTCCTCTCTCTGTGCTGTAGTTCTTTAAGAACTTGGTGGTCTGGTTGTATACTCGGGAAAGATTGTGAAAATGGAAGGATTTAGCCGGAGTAGTGGCGATTACATATTGACAGCATATTTCTGTGGTTTTTACATGGTTTGAATTTGGTTGTGGGCCCAGGGGGGGTGTATAATGATAATATACAGTAATCAAGAGGTGAATTTGTGCATTATACTTTGTCAAATAAAGCAAGCCAGGCAGCCTTCGTGTTTGAGAACGGTGCTGTTTTTTAATCGCCCACTAGAGGGCTGCAGCGCTGCAATAACCAGCCTATATATAATAATGAACGAAATTACTCAAAAAAAGATTAGTTCATTTTAATGAACGAGATTAGAATGAACGAGTCTGTCAAAAGACTCGAACTTGCCATCACTAGCAGAGAGCCTGCGTGGGCATTAACATTCGGTGCTACTGGCAACTGTAAATGCCAATCAATGTCTGCGACACGCCCCTCCCTAGCTTTGTGTTTTTACAGGAATACGTATATATACCATAGACTGTATATAAAAAACATATATGGAGGCAAACAGCACTGCCTTTTCTGTTTCATGGAAACTTTATGCTTAAAGTAATCCCTGTGAGTAATCCCAGATTTTTCAAAATGTACCTGTAATCTGATTACGTCTTTATTTTCTGTACTGTAAGGGAATACAGTTCAATTTTTTTGTATCCTGACTTCTTAACGCAAGAAAATGATGGATTGAAAATACTTTTAAGATTAAATTAATGCTGTTAATGATAGCTATGATAGTTGAGGAGAAATGGTATCTTTTGTTAAACAGACAGGCATGGTGATGAATCATTTGATTAAGTACAAAGCATTTGAAATGTACCTAAAACTATTCTGTGCAGTCAGTGTGTTAAAGATTTATTAAACATTAGTTAGTCCCACATTTAAAAAAAAATCAATTACATTGAAGTTGCTAGTGTTCAGGTTCCTTTTTTCAGTATAGCTAGCCAGATATTGGCTGCTTGCGAACACATGGCAATCATGTTGTATGATTACTACATTGCACATCATTATGATTGATCAAATCTATGTAAATTGGTCATAATTCTGCAAACGCTTTGAGTGCAGTAGCTTAAATAAATAACTAAGCACAAAAACCTTCATTTAAATATGCGTTGTATTCATGTTGCAATAAGTTTGCATGTGAACAATTTTTTTCAGACAAATATGATATGAACAGTGAGCATCAAGTCACTTGTCAGGAGCACACAGTTTAACAGGCAGGCAGCTGGGGCATCATTAGAGCAAGCAGTGCACAACGACTGTTGCAGATGGTCTCTGTTCTTGTCAGGGTGGATCTGGCACAAGAGCTGAAGTGAGAAAGGCTTGAGAGAGAAGATTTTTCCCTAGCAAATCAGGATGAGAGGGTAAGACCAGGGCAGCACCATGGTCAAAGGTTATGTTTTTATAAATCACACATTCTCTTTCTCTCTGTTTCAGTCTATCACCCCTTGCTTTTTATTGTAGCACTGAAGAACCTTTTTTCAAACCCTCGTTTCATCAGGATATGTCTCTGCCCTAAGATGCACAAGAACTAGACGAGAAGAATCATGTTTGCCCAAAAGTCATACCTGAGAGGCCCAGGTGTGCCTCTGGTCAGCCTGACTGCCCCTCTGCTAGCTCTGTTGTGACCCTAATGAACCATAAAGCTAAATGTAACCCTAAACCTTCTTCCTTTGCCCCTGCCAATCAGGGGAGTCTGTGCAGTGTAGTAAACCACGAAGCCAGCATCCATTACAAGATATTATGCTCATGATGTATATCCCTGTGTTGGCTTTTCATTTCATCACTCTTAATTTTAACATAATTCAATATATTTAAACCTAGCAAAGTTAAAGTAAGAGTACTACTTAAATATTCACTCAAGTAAAGGTGTACACTGGAAAATACTGAGCCTATCCTTGTTTTTATTTATTACAGGGGGATCAAACATGTCATGTATAGCCACCGTCAGCAAATCCTGTTAACTGACACACACACACACACACACAAACACAAAGGTCAGGGGATAAACCCCCCTCTGTTTTTTTTCTGTCACTCACATATCAGGTTCAATGTCAACGGTTTCACTGCAGTGAAAGAAAGACAGACTAGTTTGTTGGTGATATAGCCGATGAGTACAGTTATTTAAAAAGTATGTGTGTATTTATGACATAATGTGGATTAATATGTCATACAATTCTTTATTTCATACAGATACACAGATACATCACAGATCTTAGAGCTTGTGTCTTTTCTTATACAACTCTCTGTGTTTCCATTCCCTGTCAGTGGACATTGTTTTGAGATCACCTTTTTTGTACCAGCCTCACAGACAGCTGCTTACTTTGTTCATAGCATTTACCCTCCTGACGCTATAGTTCTTTTAAGCATTTGTTAGAGCATTACATTGTGCAGAGATAAAAGTGAAAGGGCATGCCACTGAGGAGAAGCTGTTGTTGTAGCTGGCTGTTTTTCATGGCAGAGATGAGCTTCAATGGAGAGATTCACATTGCTGAAGGCCATAAACTGGAGGACTTGAACTTAATTCCACTCAGATACGGAAAAACCCTTTACGTGATATATATTAGCAGTAAAGTAGTCAGTGAACTCAGAAATATTGGTGTTGTTTCACACTAAAATACTTAATAGGTACCTGGACAAGGTAACAGGACAAGTATGTGAGTACTGGGGACGAAGAGACCATGTTATATGGATACGGGGGTAACAACTCTGAAAATTGTTTTCAATACTGTTACTGGGCATAAAACAGGAAAAATAGGGATAGCATGGTGAAGGTAACAGTGAACATATTTTCCTGTGAAGTATTTACTCTTTTGTATCAGTGCTGAAACTCTATAAAGCGTGCTCACTCTGTAGTTTTAAGATAATGCCTCTCTTTCGCTATAGCTAGCTGAAAAGTGTAGGGAAGTAATGATGTGAGGGCTTTTGTAAGAAATGACAGATGACGTAGGACCTCCTGCTTCATGGTGTTGAGTACATTCACGTACACCAAAAGAGCCTGCAATTCTCAAACTCTCTCAGTTGATATTGTCTGACTCAGAAACTGTCCAGGCCCTGTGCCTCTGGGCCTATGTGAGGAACAGAGTAACCGAAACAGCCCTGTCAGCTTCTTACTCTCGCATGTCCTGCTGTGATTTCCATAACACTCCAGGTCAGTGAAGACTTCGGAACAACTGTACTATGATTTTAAAGTGCTTCAGAGTGAACTCACAAGTCACTGAAATTTTATTTACAGCAGAAAGAGTAGATCATTCTCTTTATTGGACCCTCTGCAGCTTGCACTTGCAAAGGCTAACTGAGACGAAGGAATGAGAGGGGTAGGCCACACTGTCTTCTGAGAATAACTGGAGAATATCTACAGATGCTTCTTAGAAAAAACACAGAAATGTAGCATTTATACTTCGTGGTAGTTAGTACTTGTTTTTACTGTAAATAATGGATAAGGTGGATTCAGAAGCGAAACCTAGTTAAATGTAATGTACTCAAATAATCTGAACCCAATTATACCACGGTCACTTGCCTTGGTTGAAAGACTCCTTGAACTTTCTCTGAGAGGAACACTTTACACTTTGAGAAAAACATCATTAGTACTATTAGTTGTCTTTTTCTTAGTGGTACACATACACCTTTAAATTTCCCTCTGCTCTCTAACCAATAAATAAGTTGTTTTTATGTGGTCTTAACCAAAAGTCTTTCAGGATTTGACCTGAAGAGTCTTTGAACTTTCTTTGATGTCGTTTGCAGTGAACACATCAATACTGTGGAGGAAGATGGTGATGAGATTGGAGCCTTTCCTTGCGAGTCACCTTGTGACTGTCAAAAGTCATGAAACATAAATGGGTACGACAACTAACCTACATCTATGGTCTCTTAGCTATGAAGAAGGTTACACTCGTATTTACAGAGGTTCTTTCCACTGCTGAGAATCAAAAGATTACATTTGAAAAACTAACAGCAACATGTTTTTGGCAGAATCAATGTCCTGATGATTCAGGATAATCCACAGACTTTGCTGTCACACAGTTTCACTATTATGTAGGCTACCAAATTTTTATTTATTTTTATCAGAAAATTCTGCTAATTCAGAAAATTCTGATAAAAATCCCCCTCATCATCTGCAGATTTTGGGTGCACTGTCAAATACTTTGTGGTTGCCGGTTTAAAAATGTGATGAAATGGAAAATGTGCATACAGTACAAATATGATATTCAATATCATTGCGGGCCCACAGTTTGACCGATCTGAACACTGCTTTACCTTCAGTGCTAATGCTCTTTGCACTGCCTCCACCACACACACACATATACAGACACATACATATACAGACATATGTATACAGAGTAAACATCATGTAATGTAATTACAGCAATCTGCTCAAAATCCAGCTGAGAAGAAAAAAACAAGGAGTCCTCGAAATAGTTGTTGCAAATGTATTTAAATACAAAGGAACACAAACAGAAAATGATACTCCCTTCACATACTTTTTATAGGATAATGTTTTGCAGAAAACTGGGACTATATCTGTCAATATGCTCACTGCCTATCTAAACTCGTGCCTCTTATTAGATTTCAACCATAAATAATTGATGACTTTGCACCTCCCTCATCCCCCTCAACCTCTCTCTTTTTGTCTCACCCTCTCAGTCAGCTGTGGCGAAGGACACTCAAGGCTGAACAATGTGATTTTGATGTACATTTGTGTGTGTTTGTGTATAAACCATGAAACAGAGAGCAGCAGAGACCAAAGGACAGGGAGCGTCTTGGTTTGATTCCAGGAGGCAGGGACTGATGGATAGATGGAGAGGTAAGAGAAGGAAAAATGGAATGAGAGGCAGAGAGAGACTTTCATACAACAACAAAGTGTACAGTAAAGCACAATAAAGAGAATTACATTAACATGATGAACATAATAACAATACGATGCAGTAGGTTTAGATTAGATTAGATGAAACATTATGATTGGCTTGCAGACATTGGGTCACAATGCAAGATAGACGGACATTAGACAAATGGTGTATGTTAGAAACAAAACAATACACATTTCTTTAATGTAGAGAAAAACATCTTTAAAAAGATGGGATTTGCTCAAGCATTGGCAACATGTTGGCTTTTACAGCAACAGGTTTGCAGGTTAACAGATGTTCACAGCTCTTCATAGTCAGTGAGAGCCTTCACAAGGACCAGACTCACTCAGAAATTATGCAAGTGAGATGCTTATCTTCTCACATCATCCAGTATGCAGATAGAAGAACATTAATACAGAATTAATTAAATGTGCATTGTTAGCTGTTGACATATTTCATGAATTTCAAAACAAAGTAAGCACTTAATTTATTCCTTCTAGTGATGCCTCTGCCAAGTTGAACTGTTGGTGTAATAAGATTACATTGTATCTGACAAAAGGAAAACAGAAGAATTTAATTTAAATAAAAATATAAAGTGCAAGGTACAACATAAGAATAATGTTCTTTAAAGGGGCTCTATGTAGTTTTATATTGAAATTAGTCACTTTGTTATTGTGAATGGGTTGTAATGGAGTTAAGTAAACTGAGGTTCAGGAACAGGACAACGCCTCCCTCATCCCCCTCACTGATTAAACCACCCGTGTCCCATCACACACACCTGCGAATCCAATCACCACCACATACATAAGATTGCCCCCTCGCAGTGTGGACAAACGAGGCAGGCCCATGCTCTTCCAGGGTGGCCGCATGGTGTGCAATAACTTCAACGACTTGGGTTGCATCATGTCAGGCTGCCGTTTTCACACTTGCTCCTTCTGCGGTGGCGCACATGCTTGTCACTGCTGCGCTCACAACCCCACCAAGCCCAGTCTATGACTAAGGCAATTTCTGAAAACAGCCATAAATATCCCCGCCCTCGACCTCACATTGGCAAACCACCCTGACCGCCAGTTTGTGAACTTCCTCATCAACGGTTTCACTTGCGGTTTCCACCCAGGCATCGAGGTTTTTCCCGACCATTCCTTCTCTTGCCACAACTTCCAGTCTGCCTTAGCCGAACATTGTGGACGAGCTCCTAGCCAAGGAGGTGTCAGATGGGTTCATGATCGGACCTTCTCACCAATTCTCCATTCCCTGTCCACCGCATTAGCCTTATCGGCATTGCGAGCCGCAAGTACTCCTGCAAAAAGAGACTCATCTTAGGTCTATCTTCCCACCACGGCGCCTCCACACCTAGCATCAACAGCTTAATACCCAGCCCAGGATTTTTCCATCCACTACGCCACCACACGCTCAGGCTATCAACCTCATTCGCCTCGCCGGCCCCCGATGCATGATTAGCCAAGGCCGACATAAACAGCGCCTTCAAGATCTTGCCCATACACCCTGATTTCTGGCATTTGTTTCGCGTCTCCTGGAAAGGCTCCTTATACTTCTCCGTCCGTCTCACTTTTGGGTGCAAGAGCAGCCCCAAGATCTTCGACTCACTTTCCGAAGCTTTGTGTTCGATCTTGCTCAATAACCACAGACTCCCGTACGTCATCCATCTCTTGGACGACTTCCTCATAGTCTCGCCCTCCTCTCATTTCCCAGTGCACGGCGTTACCACACTGAAATCTGCCTTCCTCCAGTCCCCCTTTCCCCAGAGAAAACCACGGGACCCAGTACATCTCTGTTAATCTCCAACTACCTCCTCGCCACCAGATGCACGAAGCGCCAGCTCCTCTCACTTCTCGGTCACCTCAACTTCACTATTTGCATCATTCCACAGGGTTGTTCCTTCCTCTCCCACCTGCTTTAGGTAACTGCAGCAGTTCCTGCCCTTCACGGCTTTGTCACCATTGACGACGCTTGCAAAATGGAGCTCAGATTGTGGAGGGACTTCCTGTCGTCATGGAATGGCATCTCTTTCTTTTACAATGCCCACATCAACCACCCAGAGGACATCGGCCTCTACACGGATGCTGCTCCATCCACCGGGTTCGGTGGTTACGGCTCCCAGTGGTTTGTCTCAGAGTGGCCACCGGAGATATTTTCCCTCTCCCCCTCTTCAGCCCTCTTCGAACTGTACCCAATCGTCGCGGGGGCACGAGTGGTCCCAAAAACTCATCCTCATACACTCCGACAACCAATCCACAGTCAACATTATAAACAAAGGGCGTTCCCAATCTCTCGACATCATGAAGTTCATCCGCAGGCTAACCTTGGTATCAGCCCAGCACCAATTCATCATCCGCACTGCCCACATCCCAGGCTCACAAAACTCCATAGCTGACTCTCTCTCTCGTTTCTCTCCGACTCCCATCCAACACGGTCCACGGTCTTCGACTGAATCCCCAGCTTCTCCACTTGGTCTCCGCTTCACGACTATCAATCATAAACAGCCTTGCCACCAAAACACTCTCATCATACTATTCAGGATGGTGCAGTTTCAAAACCTTCCATACCTCGTACGGTTTGCAGTTCCCCTCTTTAGACATCATATCCCTAACCAGTTACATTTCCCACGCCCACCCGGTACTCAAGATCAGCACATCCACCATCCGAGTATACCTAAGTGGGATCAACTACTTCAACAAACTCCTCTCAGGAGCTCCAGCTCCTTCCATCTCTCACCCCCACATTCACATGCTGATGAAAGGCTTGAGGAAAACAGAACCTCGTAACACCCTCAAACGCTTGCCTTTGACATCAGACCTCCTCACCCGCTGCATCCTGACCCTCCGGGCCAGGTATCTATCTCCCTTGACTGACTCTACCGTCGTAGCTATGTTCCTCCTTGCTGTCTTCGGCTTCCTACGATGCTCAGAATTCACCACCACCTCCTCTTTCTACGACTCTTCCCGGCACACAAGTCTATCCGACATTGCCGTTCACTCCACAGACTCACTCAGGTTCAATCTCAAAAGGAGCAAAACAGACCAGTTTGGCCTTTCTCATCCCATATTCATTTTCCGTTTAAACTCCTACCTAAGCCCTTTCGAACCAATCCTAAACCACATCAACCGCAGACTAAACTTCCACGCCTCCCCGCAAGACCCACTGTTCACCACCGAATCAGGCGCAGTTGCCACACGATTCTGGTTCCACCACCATCTCAGTCTAGTCCTCTCCAAATCTGGCATTTCTCTGGAGCTATACTCCGGACACTCCTTCCTCGTCGGAGCTGCTTCCTCCACTGCCAGCCAAGGCATTCCGGACCACACCATAAAAATCCTCGGCCGATGGTCCTCCCACGCATACCTCAGTTACATCCGCAACGATCTCTGCGACATCCAACGAGCCCATCACAGCCTAGCACAATAACTTGGGGGGCACGATCCATCAGCTGCTCCAGAGCGAGCCTCTACAGATGATGATGATGCGCGCTACTGAGCCTCTTGCCTACTGATTCTGAAGTGTACACACAACGCCACAGCTAATGAAATAGTCTGTTAAAACACTCCATGTAAGGATAAAAAATAACAACAAAAATGTTTAATGTGCTGGAGCCCATCATGCCAAACACTAATCAGATTGACGTTAGCAAAAACACGGTCAACATCGGAAAGGTATTTGAGTCATGAAGAGACCTCTGCTTTGTTTTGGATATAAAAACCAACCCAGATTTGGCTTTCATTCCGTTGGACGTATTCTAATATTACTACAGATCATATGAAATGTATTATGATTTAGTGTTTAAGTTGGCTCGTGTAAGGTAACGTTATCTTGCCGGCTAACGCCAACCAGTTGCTAACATTATCTGGTGCAAAATATTACAGTTATGTTGTATAGCTTGCCACATTACTTCAACAGCTAATGAGATCCATATTACTATCCTTTGTACCACAGGTATTATGTCAAAGTGTTGATTTTAGCCTGTAAGAAATGATGTAACAGTACAAAGCAAATCTGGAACAATTTGTTCTACAAGCCAATAGTGATGCAAGGCAGGGGCAGCCAGCTGGATTAGCATGGATCTGGTGTTGTTTGCTGCAACAGTCAATTTAGATTTATTGTTGTTTTACCGATACTCAGGTATGTGACCCAAATAAAATACAATAATGCAACATAACAGTGCAGGACAACACCACATCAGAAGACACATTCAAGACAGTAACGTTACTGTGGTCTAACTTTTGAACTAAAGTACATGGATTAGTTCAAAATCAAGCTGATAAAAATATCACTGTAATGTTGCAGTGGGAGTTTACCTGAGTTTCCAGCATTTTGTCTGAAGCACATGCTTGAAAATGTAGTGGTTTCAATCTGAAACCTCACTGCTAGATATCACTGAAAACTACACAAGGCCGCTTTAAGAATGTGGTTTTAGTCAGTGCAGAAAGAGGAAAAGCTTTACGATGACACTTTGTACATGCTCAAAACAAGCACAGTTTAAATTTGAGACTGAAACTTTCATCAACAATTTCACCACAAGGTAGATGTTCAAATTTCCATTTGAACAGTCCATATTTCGCAACATTTCTTGTGACTTTCTGCATGTTCACATCAGGGATTTGCTCAATGGTGATGGAGCTGAATCATATCAGGACTAATAGAAATTATATTTTAATGACAGAAAGATAATGCTTGACTAAACATTAAAAAGGGAAAATTAAACAATTATATTGTTGAAAGAGACTGACAGATCAATACATGCTACAAAAATCACTTTCTCTGAATAATGATGTATGTTGACAATTACCCAGTGGAGTGAGATAAATTAAGGGATATCATCAAGCTGTGTTTTAATTTGGCAGGCATTAAACTCACAATGATCCCTGACACCATCTGGTCTCTTTGTTCCCCCCTGTAGTCCACTCTCTCTCTCTGCGTATTTCAGTCTCTCTCTCTCTCTCTCTCTCTCTCTCTCTCTCTCTCTCTCTCTCTCTCTCTCTCTTCCTGTCTGTTGTTCACATTTACCACACCTCTTTTTCTTTTGTTACAGTATTCTGTCATTCATTCTCCAGTTCGCAGTTAACTATGACTGGCACATGTTGACTGGGTCAAGGTCTGTGCTGGCTGAGTGGATGCTGAGAAAATAAGAAAGGATTATGATTAAGCTGACACAATGTGTGTGAGAGAGAGATAGATGGAGAGGGGGAAAGGAAAATAGGAAATGTTTTCATTTTATACCCACAATGAGCTTCCTCTTCCTCTCTACTGCTAAACGTCTAGTGTCCAAAGTAATTTGATTTGTACTTAATTATGCCTATTTGGGATCTGTTGGGTTGCTTTTAGTGCAATATGTTATAAATATTTCTTTGTGGAGTGGTTAAGTGAGCTATCAAAAGAAGTGGGTAAGAAGTAATGAAATATTCAAAAAGGGATTACTTCCCTGGAATGTTTAAATATATATATATCTATCTGCTTCTAGCCTTTCAAAGTGCTCTTATTTAGCTCAAATAGCATCAATAGTCTGATTACACTTTGATGTAATGATACCTGCAGAGTTTCCTGAATGAAGACTCACAGTCTCTTCATATCCCTTTGTTTTTATCTTCTGCTTTCCCTCATCTTACATGTGTAGTTTGTATGCTGACCTGTTATATTCCTCTGACAACTGAATGATGGAGTTGGAAACTCTATGGGAATCTGACTGGACCTATCCGCCTGTGCCTGTTGTACAGAGGCACTGCACTCTAGTCATTCATGTAGCTGTAGATGTGAGGGAAGATTGAAGGCATGCCATCATCATCAGGTCACACTCCTTATTATCCCTGCCCCAGTTTCTAGAAATCATAATTAGTTTTACTGAAACCATGTTTATGGTTTTATGGCAACAAGTAAAATCCATAGTGAGAGGAGACCCATTATTAAATTGTAAAACACAGAATAGGAACCTACTATCATTCCCACATTGATCATCAGGTGATATGAAATCTATACAACATTTACTGATTTCTAATGTCAGAAGTAAAAGTTTAGTACAGGTAAAACAGGCTGATGTTTTCAGTTATGAGCCACTGAAAACACTTAATGTTTACTGTGGTCTATATTCACCCTGTAGTTGAGTGTTCCCAAATCCCATAATGCCAGGAAATGGGTACTTCAACTTCCTGCAAAACAATGTAGCTCCAGTGGTGATGTCATCCTGCACTAGTAGGTGCAACAAATTAAACTAAAAACTAAACTAAACAACATCAGAATTGTTTCTACAATCCCACCTTTCTGCCCTTTCTCTCCATACTAATAATTTGTTTACACATTGGCTTGACTCTCCACTGGTCTCCGCCAACAGCCTCACATTAGGCGAGTAATGATACAATTTAATTGGACCTGTAAGTTTAGCTTTTCAATCCATTCCCAGTGTTTCCTGCATACTTCTCTCTCTGGACCTCTGTCCATGGTGCTGATTGCCCCTGTCTTCAGAGTCCATACTGAGAGAGAATGTGAGGATTCAGCGTTGAAACCACTTCAGTTTGTCTATTTTGCCTCAGAGTGGGGGATTTAAGATACTCTGAAGCACACAGTAGGTCAGTGTGACCTGATGCCAGGAATTGGATCCAGATTATTCTTTTCCCTCTTGAATGTTTTGACTGATTCGATAATCTTCCCTCACTCAGTATATGTGAGCGTCACCAGACAAGGGCAAGGACAGGACCTGCCTCTGGTTCTACTCAGCCAGGGGACCATCTGTTTTAAAACTTTTCCTCTGGAAGACCAATTTCAGTTATCACTAAGATCCCTTTAAAGCTCAATAGTAATGAGAATTATCATCTCATTCAAACAGCCCTCCTGAGATTTACGCCTCCCAGAAAATTAGAAAATTATTAAATCTGTACAATTTAACTATCCAATGGCTAAAACTTATATTGACCCTTACCACTGTTGTTGCTTGCTACCATGCAATGTATTACTCTTATAATGTATAATTGATGGCCAAAATGTTCAAGTACTGACAACATATGGTACTACTATGGCATGAAAAGTGTTGATGCTGTGAATGTTCTGCAGAGCTTTCTTCTCATGAATCTTATTACATTCAGTAGAACTTCTTAATTTCATACATGGTACAAAAACACTACTGCACATTCAGTGCTATACCTTCTGCAGCTGCAGTCATCCATGCATGCTGCTTCAAATGCACACAATTATAACACCATTTACCATAAGTGGCTTACATTTAAATCAAGCACAAGCATTGACATTATGTTGCAATCTCAGTTATTTGCAGTCCTCTAGTGGTTGGAAACTGGAAGTACATGAAGTACATGATGAAAAAAAGCAGATCAATGGAAATGTACCAGAGCATTTCAATTGGCTTCTAAACACAGAGTTGCACTGATACAGTGACAGAATTAGAAAAGATAGAAGCTGCATTTATACTTGTTGTTGTTGTGTTGTGGAGAAGATTGTCTTTAGATAGCAGTGATGTTGCATGTGAAACCTCACAATTTATGGCTCGATAATGATGAACCTAATCATTTCAGAGACAAGTATATGAGTTGAATGCCAGTGGACTGAAATGTTGAAATGCCAAGAAGATCAGACAGGGAAGTGAAATGGAAGAACGATCCCATCCATCAACAACTCCAACCGAAAGGCCATTAAGTACTTAATCCCCAACTGCTCTGGTGAACTTTCTCAGGGGCCAAAAGTAGAAGTGAAATGACCCCCGCCAGCATCAGTGCATCCATGTAACCCTGTGTGACCTGCAGCTACTCCCAGTGCTGTTAAAGTGAATGCAGAAAAAACGGTTTTGCTGCATTTGCCTTTTCCAAGCTGTGATAAAGCAAGAATTTCATATTTAAGATAATAGTTTAAAATGAGTAAATCCATAAGCATTTCTTCATCATTGTTTATCATATTAACTCATGATAGTGTTATCGATATCTGTAGTGCTTCAGTATGTGCATTTTGAAGGAGGACATGCGCACGCATACTATACATCCATAATATCCTGATTATCCAAAGATTTGGGAGAAAAAAAACATATCACTACAACTTGATCCCTCATATATGTGCTATACAGGACGCCCTTGTAAAAGAGACTGTGTCTCAATGGGACATTTTCTGTTTAAATAAAGGTTTATATATAATGCGCTTCTCTGCAGGCATAAATAGTAATAAGAAAATACAGCAAAATGTATAGTGTTGGTAATGGATCAGAGCTGCACCAAATCATATAAATTGCAGTTTTCATTGAGGAGTCATTGTTTACTTTTAATGATTCAACACGTCACCAACAGATTAGTGTTACTATGAGAGCTGCACCTGGTGCAGATGAGTCACCTTCAGCTGGCTGGACTGCTAGACTCAAAGTGTTGGACACACAAACACACACACACACACACAGGCACACACACGCACAGGCACACTTGTATTCCTTATTCCCAAGCTGGCCTCTTGACTTCCCTCCCAAAGCACAAATGGGATGACACAGAAATGGATAGCAGCAGATTGTCCAGTAATGGAGTGTTTTTGTGTGTGTCTATGCAGTTGTGCTCTTTATAGACTCTTATCATTTACTGATATGGACATTTAATGACTCTGGTTATATTTTTACATCACAGTAAACATTTTCACTTACTCTCAGTTTATCTTATTTTGTGGCAAAGGAATAATAAATATTAATAAGAATCCTAATACAGTGTCTGGGAAAACCACATTCTTTGGAAGCTGTCTTTCCTGTTGTAACCGTGTAGAGCTACACCCAGATGCAAAGAATGGCAGATTCATGCCAAAACAATCAACAGGCTGCAAGAGTCATAAATTAAGCAGTATGTGTAAGGCCTGTACATACTTACAAAAATAAACTTAATTATAAGAGAACAAATGGATATGTTTTAAGAGTAATGCTGTGTATGTATATCACTTTCAGTTTGACCCGGTCAAGTAAAACAGAAATCAACAGTGGTTAGTAAATTGTTAAATGTCATATGGGCCAACAAATGCCAACTGAATAACTTCAGTCCCAGTCCAGGGACACAAGCTGCCAGAAATCAAAGCTGGCAGAGCTCATGTAAACTGGAGTGTTCTCAGGTCTCCTTGTATTTTTCCCAAATTACTCACTCAGTTGACATCTGAGCATCACAGAGACAGTGTCCCTGTCTATACAGAAACTTGCCAATCTCTCAGTGATCCTCACTCACCTTCTGTTAATCTTACTCTGGATGACACCCAAACCACTGCTGTGTGTTATGCATTACAGTTCTTTGCTATGACTGGTCTCTGTTTGGCCAATCAAGGCAGGTGATTTCTCCCCAATGTGAAATTCAATTATGTTTGGCGCCTCCTATAGTCTGTGTATCTGTATAGTATGACACATTTGAAATACTTTTATGTATTTGACTCCCCTATTTACAGAGCTTACATTCTTTAATACCTGTCACCTGCAACGGTTTGGCTATGTATATCAGCCAATAGGTGGCAAATTAAATCAACAATAAGATCACAATGTGCAGTTTAGAGCCCTTACCTTACAGCAAACCTGGATGCCCTGCAAACCATTTCTGAGTAGATACGGGAGAAATTTTCTCTTTATATAACCAGTACATTAATCACAGTAAAGCCCTCAACGGAAAACATAAAAAATTCTTAATGAAGAATAGATAATATATGTCAATGGTAGACAATAAGATGCCACGCATGATAGCTAAAGCATTTCACTCCAAACCTCATGTAATAATTTTTTATTTAAGGTCCTCACAAGTACAGCAAATGATGTATCTGTGTATATGCCAGGATGAATGTGTGCTTGTGTGTATTTGCTGCTTTAATTTCACCTTGATGACAAACAAGGCTTCGATAACTCAGCTCCCTGCCTCCCTTATGTGTGACAAATCACATCAACACAAAATGTCAAAACCTGACGACACAATCTGAAACATGGTCGTCTTGACCTTTTCCACCCGCCGTCGTTTCAGTTTACAATTGTTGTATTTTTCCAGCATTCCTCTTTATTGGACAGTATACAATATTAATTGGCAGGTAGAACGCTTGAAAATAAAAACAGATACCATGACACAAAGGAAGAGGGAGACATAGAGACAATCCTGACAGCCCACAGAATTTAGAGTGTTGATGCTTTCAGTGGTGACACTAAACAAAGACCCCCTTCATACTGAGTCTGAGCTGCTCCCTTCAGGGTGACGATACAGAGTACCTCTGGCAAACAAAGAGATCTGTTAGACATTTATACCTTGTGCAATAAACCTAATGAACAAACTCCATTAATCTACACCTTTCAGCATAGAAAACATACTTTACATTGTATGTATGTTGTATTAACTGTAGTGATGAAATGAGTAGCATTGATTGATGAAATAGGATGTTTTTATATCAAATATACAGTGTTCTGTTATATAGCAGCTGTGGCTTTCATGTGTTTGTCAAACCCACTTTGTCTATTGTGTTTTTTTTAAGGTCGTCATTCCTCATGTATTTGACAGCTACAAATCATATGATTACTGCAGATTATTCATGGTAACACATTTGTATAGATTAAACAACCCAACAGCATTATATAAAGTTAAAGCTTCAGCTAGCTACAACATTAAAATGCTTCTCACACATTTATGCATCAGTAATAATTACTTAATAATCTAATAAAAACTGTACTTTACCTATATTTTGCTGATAATGTTATGTTGGACTGCAGGACTTTAAGTTTTAATGGAGTATTTTTACGTTGTTGTATTCCACCACTGCAGCAGCTTTCAGAGTCTCCTCAGTAAATCAAAGAGAGAGCAGCTGTCATTGATCATCCACAAGAAAGTTGACAACAGCATCACATTAAAGGTCACAATCACATTCAAATAGCAGTAGATACTTATTCAGTTGTTGTTGCAGTGAAGTCAGGATAAATGATTTTGCAAATGTATAGCAGAATGACTCAGGTCATGTGCTGCACATGCACTGTAAAAGTCATCCGGAATTGAGTTTAAAATTTACATTCAAGTAGTAACAGTTCAGGGTAATTCATTCAAGTGATGTGTAGGTACTTTTCCAGAGGAAAGTGTAATAAGAGAAAAGCATTGTGCAATGCTGACAATGCTATAAAAAAAACACAGAGGATGATGGTTACAGTCAATTAGATACATATTACCTACTTATCAGTTCATTAATTTCTGGCAGCATACAGCAACATCACACTCATAAACAACCCTAATTAACAAGGAAGCAATGAAAAGATTTATGACTATTATCCAATAAGGACTATATAACTATCAGTACACGACTTTGCCCAGTAAGCTTTTATATTGTGTTTCTGAAGAACACAAATGTACATACACTTTAAGTAGGTAGAAAAACAAGTACATAAAATATGTGCTATGTTTGCTGTCTTTAGGATGTGTGATAAATGTACAGAATACTTGTGGTATGTTATTTTGGAAATTAAATAAAATGAAAGGTGTGAGGGATCTCATGAAGGAGCACAGCATTTACTGTGTGTTTTTGTCTAAAAAAGGTTTCAGTTTTGTGCGTCTCTCTCACAGGGCGGTGTGTATCATCGCGGCCTCAGGTCAAAGTGAGCTGTCATCGTATGAGGTGGCGGAGAGCTGAATTATTGAAAGCTTGTTTTTTCATCAAGGTGAAATTAAAGCAACACACACACACACACACACACACACACACACACACACACACACACACAGTCATTCACTCCAGCAAATTGCTTCTGTGGAAAACCTGTTTGGGACACAAAATAAAAGTCTAACGCACTACTTCAGTACTTCAGGGTGTACGTGAGCGCTCACACGTGTATGTGTGTGTGTTTACCACACTATATCGTATTTCTCACTTTTCCCAATCTACCTCCATATTGTTGGATTACAGAGAAGTGATTAGCAGTCATGTTCAGTTGGTTCAGTCCATAGGCTGCACCAAAAGGACTAGATGTTCTACTTGGACCTTACTCCCTAAAAATAACCTGTTCAGGTGGACATGGGCATTACCTGGAGGCACCAGCCACTCAATGGTTCACAGAAAAATATGGCATCACAAAAACACACTTTTTAAGACAAAAAAAAATTGTTACATGTATGACTGGATGAAACGGACCATTAGCCTGGTAATTAGTCTTCATTAGTCTTAGTGACTTTTAATTGGAAATGTGCAAGGCCAATTTAACAGCAATTTTCCAGACCAAGCAGGCATCTGTCTACAGTTATCTGTGGTGAAGTACATATAGAGTAAAACACAGTAGGTTGGCTGTAGTTCTGTTTTGTCAGGGACCTTTGGTGGCATCCAGAGGATGGCTAACAGCAGATTAGGGAGGGATCTCTGTGTAACTGTTTCTAACTGAGCACAGCGACCCTTTCTGAGACGCTGAAATGTCATAATTTATGTGTACATTCAAAGAGCCTTTTGTCCCTTAATTAAGAAGGTAAAAATGTTTTTAGTCTTGTTGACAAAATAAAACCAGACAATGTGATGGTGAACTGATGAAGTCTGAAATATTATCATCAGGGCATGTTGCTCTTTAAAGTTGCAGGATGATGAATATGTTAAAATAATAATAGTGCGTATGGTTTCAAATATTACCTTTAAAATAGGTACTGTTTCTGAATGTTTCATATGTACTGGAGTTTTCATTTTGCTTTGTATTTGTATGTTTTTTACTCTGTTCTATGCCTTCTCAGTTCACAGACTAAATATACTGGTGTGGTACAGTGTTCACAGGAAGACGAAAAGCGACTTTGCACAAGCTGCACGCCCAAAAGTCAACAGGAAGTGAAAACCCATAGACCCATTGCTCATGCTAAACACTACATGAGAAGTAGGTCCATACACTATATATTACAGTGACTATTACTCATCTCTGTGTTACAGTAGGAGCATATTAGCTGATCTCCCTGACCTGATATTTGAACACATTAAGTTTTACTGTATTATGCATGTTTTAAAAAAAAGAAATAAATTAACACATACGTAAAAAAAATGCAATGATATGCTGTATTTTGCGTTTGTATTTTGCATTTGTGGAGTTTGTTCCTGTTTGTTATTATGTTTAAATGATAAATAAGAGGAAGGAACAAACAACAAACAAACAAACAAACAAATGACACCAAGACACCAGTGAGTTTCTTATCTTTTTGTAGGGCACCATTGTTCAAAATAAATTGTGGTTTCATTGGATAAGGTTATGGACAGATTGTGGTCAGGGTTACAGTAAAAGAAAATCCATCATTGAAGGCTCTCTGGAGACAGGATGTTAACCTTGGTTTCTGGTTTTAAAGTCTTGCCATTCTGCCTTTATTCGTAAATGGGCCATTCTTCACAAGACAAAGCGACCTCTCAGCAAAACAGTCATTTTTCTGGTAAGTACGGTCACCAAAAAACCCCTTATGTAAATCTCTATCATCAAATGCTTCACTCCTTAACATAGAGCTTTCCCCTTTTGTGGGTGCACTGAAGGATGCTTTGCACTGAACCGAGACATGCTGACAAACAACAGGTCCCAATCACTACATAAATATTTTTTCTTTCATTAATTTCACTGAATCAGGCATGTCGTTATTCTTTTCTCCTTAGAAATTAGATGCACATTAGAATTATCTTAATAATGCATTAGGGTGCAGCAGCATTTTGAGAGATTAAGATTCTCTACCTTCAAACATTAACTATGTATAGAAACTGTGTTGGGAAGATTAAAGGACTCCTGGTTTGAAGTAAATAATCAGTGTCAAAGGTGAGTTATTACCTCTAGATGAGTTTATAACCAGCTGTTTATTTCAAAAGATCAAAGTCACCTATCAGCACTTGTGTTTTTAACACTTTACACCCCTCCAACTTTCCATGGCAACTCTATCTATCATACCAACACTTTTGGCCAGAGGCCACCCTCATATATTCCTATTTTTTATCTTACCCTTTTTTAACCCATGTCATCTCAAATCATCTTTTCATTTCCTCTTACCATTGGTCCTTTTTAGCTTTACACAGGAAGTGTCACGGGCTGCCCTGCCCCTGCTGCTGCCTCTCATATCTCAGTTTAGTCTCCCTCACACATGAATAAGTGTTTGCAGTATCTCACCCACAGAGAGGAACTGTGGTTCAAGGTTTGCCCTCCATAACAAGAACTGATCCTCCCTATCTGGCTCCGCTTTTCTGTTTTACTTTGTCTCCTCTCAGATGATCCATCTGTCACCCACCTGCAGCTGATCTTATACGCACACTGCAGCCACAACATGAGCATACGGAAACTGAGTGAGTACTGTGTGTGTGTGTGGAGCAGCTGCACTTTCACGTTCATGTGTTTCTGCATATAGTCATCTGGGGTGTGAGCAGTTAGGTTAACCAATGCTGTCAGCCACCGTTAGTTTTGCTACATTTTTGTGACAAGGATGACTTGCAAAACAAAATCAACTTGCATGACCTGTTTTGCTGTTTTGCAGTTCCGTCAATTATTAAAATATATACAATTCATAATAAAATATGATTTTAATTATATCCAGTATAGGTTTTGTAAAAGCAGGTCTTTTTCATAAATAGCAAAATGGCTGAATGCCTTCCGGTGTTGACACAGAAACAACCAAGCAGGACCAGATGCACCCACCCACACACACACATCCACACACACACATCCACACACACACATCCACACACACACACATATACCATCACTTTCATTTCATAGCTTCAAATGGTTGACTGCTTCTACATCTGTAGAGCAACACAATCAGTACAATAGCTCTACAAAAGGCCATTTTACTGTAACAGCTGGACCGAAAGAAAGGGACTTGTTTATTAAAGCTGCATTCATTGATTTGTTTCCCACTTGGGGGCAGCAGAAAAGCTGAAAACACAACATCTGAAAAATGAACTTTAAAAAGTTGCTTAGTCATGTTTCTGTCCATTTCATAAATCCAACATTCACTCTCCTTTTAGCTCTAGTTTTAGCCTATGCCAACGAATGAAAACTATCATCTTTTTTGCCTACAAAGCCTTCCAATATGTAGCACAGCTAGTTGCTAACTTTGAAGTGAAGAGTTGGAAAACCAAAACAATAAGCTTAAAGACACTACAAAGCTATGGAAAGATGAGGGAACAGCGGAGTTGGGTTTGTTCTCTTCTTTCCATGTTACAATCCAAATGTACTTAACCCTGTACTCTTTAGTTCCTCACACTTTTAGTTTCCTCCTTAAACATAACAACAACTCTTTTGCAAATGTCTCATTTAACTAACATATTATTCAAATAATCTAATCTCTAATTGAGAGGTTCTCTGAGGATTAGTTGGCAGAATAAAAACCCTAATAAAAGCGATAAAATTCAGCAGTTTTATACTGGACCAACATCATATAGTTGTAACCACACAGTAAGCATTTCTTCCCCTTTTCAAACTTTTCCCCTCTCAAGGTTTCAAGTGGTTCGGGAGCCTCACCAACCTCTCTTTTCGCCGCAGCACTGAGAAATCAGACTCCAAGTCCTCTCAGTCGAAGTCTGGAGCAGGAGCGGGATTTGCACCTGAAGATGGCGCTGACTGCGGTACGCCAGTCCTGGCTCCAGTTGCTGAGACAACAGTGGACGACATGGGTGCCATGCGGCCTCGCACCGCCAGTTACGTACGCTCCAGCGAGAGCTATACACACATGGGTACGCTGCCACGGCTACTGATGAAGAGGAGAGGCAAGAGTAATAAAGGTAAAGCAACTGAAGCTATGAACAACACTGAAGTGACAGCACTTCTATTTCTTTTCTTATTTTTCCTCTACCTGTCTTTGTCTGCTTTGATGTTTATTTCTGATGTCCCCCTCTTCTCTAGGAGGCCCCAGCAGCAGTAAGAAAAGTAAAGACAAGAGCAGCATCAGCAGAAGTCAAAGCCAGCGACCAGCAGGTGACAAAGACAGCTGGCACCCGAGGCCGACAGCCGCCTCATCCAGAGTGGCTGGAGACGGGGCTGGAGTTAAAGCTGGGCTCAAAAAAGACTCTCTCACTGATCTTAAGACCCAGCCTGAACCTACAGGTGAAACAAATACACAAAACGCCATCTCTGGACCCATTCCTGCCTGTGAAGATGTGTCGCCATCTAGTGGCTCAAGTGCTGCACAACAACCTGAGACATGTGACAAGCAACGAATCACCCAGGCAGGTGCAGGTTTGAACCCCGAAGAGACTTCATCACCTCCACTCAGTCAGGGGAATGATCGGATCCGGACAGGTGAGGATGATGGGTTAGGGTCCGGGCCTGTATCTGAAACAAAGGAGGAAGCAGAGAGCAGAGAGCTGACAGACGGAGCAGACAAAGGAAACCAAAACTCTGACAGCATTTACAGGTGATTCTTTTTAAATTTTCTTGTGAACTGTTTATTTTCTTTCCTTTTTTTCTTCCTTGAACGATAAATTCATTGAAGGAAGAAAGGTTACTGATTGGGGAGGAGAGGAGAGTGCCATTCATTTAAAGCTCTGTCCTGTACAATCACTTGTACAGGACAGAGTTTTAAATGAACAGGACAAATGATCCCTATCACACTCAACACAACATTTTGCATTTCGGTTAAACAATAAGTGTTTGATGCAGAGGTACAGTTTCCTTCTTCTGTGCTGATTTCCAAATTGGGAAACTGTCCCAAGAGGTCTTGAGAAGGGTCCCTGTCTAAAAGTCAGTGTTAGAAACACTTTACTCAAGTACTTTCATTAAGCACAGATTTTCCATAGTATGGAACATCACAGATGAAATTTTTTTTAGGATTATCCTGGCAAAAGGTTTTTTCAGTTGTTCTTAAGCCATAAACACAGGAGAGAAAAGTACTTAGATCTCTCAGGGCTTTCATATTTGTTTGTATGTTTCTTTTACATTTACAAAAAATAGAAGATTTAAAAAATAAATATTTTTTCTTTCTTACCCCATAAATAGTTATTAGTAGACCTCTTTGTCTAGTGACACTTTGGGCAACCCCTTGGTTGTAAACAATTGAACTACACTAAGGAACTGTATAACAGGTAGTTAAAGTAGTAGTAGTAGTTATCTCTCCACATCGCATCAGCACATCAGTATTAGCAGTTTTGTAGTGACATATGCTGCAGAAACAGTACGTTTATTTTTAATACATTGAGTATATATGTACATTAGCCGAAAATACTGTGCAGATAGAATTGAATGAAGGGCTTTGTGTATTTTTACATTGTTGTATTGGCACCACTTCTTCCACCATTAGTCAAAATCTGAGTCTTACATTATTTCAGATTTGTGATTACATGTTCCATTGGGCTATACCTAAAGTAATGTGTTTAACACAATTACCACAAAAATATGCTCAAGCTGTGTGGGTATGCCAGGGGGCGCAAATCAGTTTTTACTGCGTGTAAACCTTCCAGGGAAGTTGGACAGTTCACGCTTCACAGTTTGTGCTGACTTTGCTGTGGACAGGGCTTTTCTCAGGCGATGGGTGTGAGGTGAGAAGATAACAGGATTCATAACTTCACCTTTTCAAGGCAGCAAGTAACATTGATTCCTTTTATTGATCAGATGCTGCTGGAAAGCTACCGCACTGTTGTGGTGATGTTTTCTTATTTTGCATCGATGTGTTCTGACACACATGAGACCGACATAAACAAGCGTTTCTTGTGCGCATTGTGTGCGTTTCATAATGTTGTAGTTGTTTTATCAAAAAAATACTTTATGGAAGAGTTTGAGGGAGAATGTGCCTCCTGAAAGGTGCCCACCCCCTACTCCTCTCAGCCGAGCAGACTGCATTTTCTCGCTGCTTTCCCATGACATGCTAAGGTCTCCCTGCCTCCAATATTCCATGCATGATAGCTGAGTGCTTGTATCGTGTTACAGTGGGATTTTCACTGCGTGTGAATGTGCATGCCTGTGTGCAGGCTGCAGTCCTGCTGGTATGTACGGGCACGCCTCTACGAGCATGCACCCCCAGCCCATTAGTTCAGCCCAGGGACCGTGGGAAATATAGCTGTATGGTGTTGTACAAGTTCAGTATGGGCACATCAAAGACTCTCTCTCCCCTGTCTGTTCAGCCCTGAATCACAGGTCGTTCCTTCTCTCAACCCTACTGTCCATTTCACTCTCCAATTCTTATTCTGCCCAAAGTGCAGCTCTTCACTTCTTTGCCTGAGTTTGCCTGCTTTTCTGGAAAACCAATTTCATTTCTCAGAGAGTGCCTTTGGAGGCTGGTAAGCTGGTACAATTATGGGTTTTGTTCTCTAACCTCATTGTCCCTCCTGGAGTAAAGCATTTCAACTGTTATATTCTGTTAGAACTGTTATATTCTGATGAATGGGTATTTGACATTTAAAAGACAAAATTATGAATTGATTTATCAAGAACTAGCAGATTAATTGATATTGAAAATACTATACTAATACTAATTGCAACCCCAATCAAAGCCAATTCAAGTAGACTTTGATTATGTAGCCCAGCATCACAAGTTTCTCGCTGGGGCTTAAAATTTGTACAACATATTACAATCTCTTTCCGCACATCCTTGAGTCACATAAGGAAAAACTGAAAAAGCTTAAATAGGAGTAAGCACGTCATCTAAGCACTGATGGCATTTATGCTCACCCTCTTCCAAGTTAGGCAGACATGCTGTAGGTGCTGCTTGTACAGATTAGACAGATGTAGCAGCAGCAATAGAAACAGAGTTTCAATCTTTAGTAAATACAAGTCAAGTATAATATCAAGTTTATAATATTAAGAGTATAATATTGAGGACATATTATGTGTAATAAGTTCACGAGTTTCAGGAAAATGCGAAAAAGTTTCCTATCTCTAAAGCTACTTGGCCTTGCTTGCCAAACCATATTTGTAGTTTCAAAGCATAAACACAAGGCATGCTAGTGAGTGTTTGAAGCACAACTGGTAAGCTTGACATGGACTTCTTCTCTACTAGTGCTTGATGGCCATCTTATCAAGGTCTGATGTTATTTTCAAAGCCTGGTGCATGATTGGTATGTTTTTGTATTTAAAGCTCAGTCTCACATTCTTTTCCGGAGAAATGCTGACGTTATCAGTGCAAATGACGGAGGCAAAGACTTTACAGTTGTACAACCATTTCTGAAAAAGTTTAAACACAGGAGCAGCTTAGGAGTGGAATGTAGAGCTTCTCTGCCGTGGGACCTATTAACATTCCCAAGCCCACTGCCATGATGGGACCCTTTGATCTGGCCTCTTTGTGGTCATGTGTAACACGGCTTTACTCTGGGCCCTATGAGACCCATCATGAAATTGGGAGTTACGCTGATTGATCTTAAAACGTGTCTGCGAGTGTAATTGCCCCTTTAGCTCGCGCTCGCCCCATATCACAAAGCTACACAGCAGTATCTGCAGTATGGCTTCCTAGACTGCAGCACAGCGGGGGATTTGACACATGATCCAGATCCATCATGGGTGTAAAAGTGTGAGTTATTGCGCCCGAGAGATTTGAGAGGCCAGCTTCATATTCAGCAACCTAAGACGGTCAGCGGGATTTGTTATCTGTCTATTTTCCACGAAGCTAGATTGCACCAGCATTTTACTCAGTGGAGAGGCCGCTGCGGAAGTGAGTCATGGGAATACAGGCATGTTTTTTGCCTGCAGTAACATTCACTGCACCTGTTACAAGACCAGATCAAACACAAAAGCACCAGCATGTGCACATATGTGTCGATATGTACACACAATTTCAACAGAGTTTACAGCCCTATTCCTGTTATTACAACGCCTAACATCTCCCCTCTTTAATCTTTTTTTTTGCCTTTTTCTGTTTCTTCAGCTACATGAAGCCAGTGCAGAGCCAGGGAGAATATGTTGAGGTAAGTCTGCTCTGTCCCAGTGTATGTGTGTCTGTGCCCTAGTCCTGTCCTCTTCCGTCTGGGTCTGTGTCCTTGAATGTGTGGTATGATTGTACAGATGAATGTGCTCTGTGTGTGTGTGTGTGTGTGTGTGTGTGTGGCTAAAATGATTAGTGCTTCATACTGACAGACACAATTACTATTTATACTTATTGTCAGTCTTTCTACACATCCAATTGCTGGAGGTTAAATGTCACATCCAACCATATTGTCCTTTTAAAAACGTAATGTCATAAGTTTCAGTATTAAAAATATATTCATTTTTACTTTTACTAGATTGTAAAAACTTTTTGTGCTGCTTATGCAAAATGTCCATACATTAACCGTACCGGTGCTAGATTATGCCACTTAACACTTTGTCCACCCACTGGTATTAATGATGAATGTGAGAACACTGTTAGGTTGCTTGTAGAGAATGGAGAGACAGAATCTGACAAAACATCAGCTTTTCCTAGTATACAAAGTTTCACTTTTTTCTCAGTGACATACATGTAATGCCTGAGATGCCATTAGATATGAGTTGTAGTTTTCCGCCTGCATAAGCATCTCAGTTTGAATTTCCTCCTCCCTGCTCCCTCCCACGTTATTGAATTAGATTTTTTATTGTGAGCGCTCAGATGTAATTGTGGCTGATTATTAGCCCCTAGTCTTCAACAGTTATGCTCATTTCAGCAGGCTCACTCTGCATTTAGCCTAATTTGGTCTGCCATTTAGCTAATTGAATTTGGAGTGAAGCAGTGCTAATGTCAGCAGTGTGCACCTAGCAAGCAGTCTGTGCTGCAGCCAGTAGGTGGGGCCATACGCTGGAGTTGTGAACTTACAGACCAGAGAGCATGTGAAGCCGTTTCATGACCTTGGAGATAGATGACGGGGATTCGTGCATCTTGTAGACTACAAATACACATTGATACAGATATTGGACTTTAAAGGAAGCAAGAAGAGAGGGAAGGAAAGACTGAAATGAACTGTTGAGCTCTTGGGATCTGTTTTTCTATTGATTATACATCACAGGCGGAGTGGTAAAAGCCTTCTCCTGTGACCCTGACCTGTACTCCGGTTGTAAAACAAATATATCCAACTTCCTCTGACCACAACAAATTGACTGCTGTTAAATCCCACTACACTGCTTCCCTTGTTAGGATCTTAATGTTGTTTTTGCATCAGTGTCTCATAATTGAGAATATAGGCTTGTTTTACTGCTGTGTAAACAAAACTTTAAGTGCATCAGAACATTACATTGAGCTGTTTAGTATTAGTGTAGCGGCATTAAGCCACCCATATCCTCTCAGATCTTGTCTTGTCATTAATTTACTTAGTAGATGAAGGCCTGAACAACTGGTTTAATAGTGCCTCTACTCTTAAAAGTGTATTAATTTGTATAATGTTAGTGATGTGGTCTTTATTTCAGTTTAGGTGACCCACTGTGATATTGGGCAGTGCTAGTCAATTTGAGAGTCCTACAATTACTGATCTTATAATTTAGCAGCATTACATAGGGTGGGGTGGCATGGTGGTGCAGTGGTTAGCACTGTCGCCTCACAGCAAGGAGGTTGTGGGTTTGAACCTTGGTCGTTCCAGGCCTGTCTGTTAGGAGTGTCTGCGTTGGTTCTCTCTGGGTGTTCCGGCTTCCTCTCACCATCATAAGACATACAGGCTAGGTTAATTAGTGACTCCTAATTGTCCTTAGGTGTGACTGGTTGTTTCTCTATGTGTGGCCATGCGATGGACTGGCGACCTGTCCAGGGTGTACCCCACCTTTCACCGATGTCAGCTGGGATTGGGGCCTTCATTTGGTGGACATTTGAGAGGTGACAGGAAATGGGGCCAGAGGGTGGTGACTTGCAGAGTGCTTGTAACACAAATTTTCATTATATTTGTAATATTGTAACATGTAATATTGGATAAACACACACCAAGCACACCATTCAGATTTTAAAGAGCAAGAAGAGAAGCAGTGTCACTGTTTTCTGCTTTAAATCCCAACTCGCCTACTTTTTTCAAATGCATGTTTTGCCACCCAAATTAGTTTCATCTTTCCTTTTCTCACTCTCACACTCCACAACAGCCCCTCCCGCCACCACGCACCGCCCCACCCACTCCCTGAAAGCTGCCAGTACTACCTCCATCTCCTTCAATTTCTCTGAAACATTTATGACAGCTGATGTTTAAATCAGGAGCTGGCCTCAGTGTTCCCTGTTATAGTTGGAAAGACCAGGCCTGTGACTTTCTCCCCTGGTTTGTCATATGTGCATTTTCTCACTTACACATAGACAGTATCACACACACATCAATTGAAAATGAGTTTGACAGCGAGAAAGACAGACAAACCAATCTGATCTTAATATGCCCAAAGAAAATAAGCAATTGCTAAGAAAAGCTCCTGATGCATTCAGGGCAAGTTATTCATCATTTAGGCTTTATCATAAAAAATCCATCATCATTAATTTTTCATGTGGGGGTATGGGTGGTCAAGCAATATCTGCTGTTTTTGTTTTTGTGACTTTTAGTCAAAGATTTAAAAAGCAGTTGGTTAGTTTAGTCTTAGTCTGAGTGTGAGCATGTTTTCAAATAGTGTGTATGTGTGTGGCTACTTGCGCTTTGATTGCTTGCGCTTGTCTTTGCCTGCAGCCCAGCCCTGCTTTGTCTCCTGTCCTATTTAGTGGCTTGGAGCTACTTTGAAAGGAGGGGCAGGGGGGGTTGGTTCATATGATGTTTATTAACATTTGTCTGGCAATAGATTCACACTGGTGCTCTAAAAAAAATTAGTGTGTGTGTGTGTGTGTGTGTGTGTGTGTGTGTGTGTGTGTGTGAGAACAGGCTCAGCTGTATATCTGTGTGTTACTGGTGTTTGATTATGCGAATGGTTTGAATTTCCAAAATCTGTATGTGTCTGTGTGCCGCCTGATTAAATGAAGGCAGTGCCCTGTGGGTGCATGCACGTGTATGTGCGTGTGACTTAATACAGTAGATTGAATTAATGTGGCGCCTCTGTAAATGAGGGGGGTGTAAACTGTCAGGGCAGGCCCACGGTAAAACACCCCTGAAAAGTCTTCAGTTTCTGTTCCTTTGCTGTGCAGACAGACTGACAAAGCCTTGTATTTTATAGCAAGTAGGTGCACACATACACGTCATACACACTATTTGAAAACAAGCTCACACTTAGACTGAGACTGAACAAACACTGTGTTTACTGAAAGGGCATTTATATCTTGGAGTATTGCATAAATCAGTCTATTTAGGTCATCAAAGAGAAAAGGGCTCAGATATGCACAACATATTTTTATGGCATATAGTCGTTTGTAAAATTTGGCTTGGATTTGACTCTCAGGACATGGACAAAATAACAGAAATGCCTTAAAATTTAATGCGGATACCAGTTTGTTGAAACCTACAATGTTCAGAGTGTCATGATAGAGTTTTCCATTGCACATACTTTTTCACTGTTTGCCGTGGACACACCAGCAATTAAAGCCAATAATTGCAATGCTTGCAGGTAATGCTTTTTTTCCCCCCTCTTAGTTTTGAGCATGTTAGCATGCTAACATTTGCTAATTAGCATGTCAACCTCATGGTAGTAGGTTGGACCTCTTGTTATCTCTGCCACATTTACCACATATATTCAATAGGCCTAGTTGTTGAGATAATTCAGTCTGGACCAAAGTCGTGGTACAGACAGATTGACATTGCCATCCCTAAGAATGCTGACAGCATTCAGCAGGCACACTTTGCTAATTGGTTTTCAACTTCAAATGATTCGTCTAGCTGCTTTGTAATGATGATTTACAGAACAGAGGTTGCTGTCTGAACTCCTGGTGCTCCAGTCATAAAACTCTGAAAACATATGTGATTTGGTAAAGAAAACAGTCTCCAAATACTACATGTAAAAAGTGGAAAAACTGCATTAGCAATCAACATTGAGTTGAATCAACACCTCTAAGAATCTCAGAAAAAAAGCTCTGATTTTTACTGTTACTTCGTTCTGTTATTTTGTCCACCCTCTTCAAGGTCAGCATGCTCGTGCCACTAAGCAGCACACGAGGCAGAAAATAATGACACATTGATCTCTCTAAGACAGTGTTACACACCGCTTTATTCACGCTAAAGATGTGTCTAGTTGCTACAGCAACACATTTGGTGTAAGGCTAAGTCATTTTAATGCGATTAAAGCAAGACAGCTGATTTTTAATTGCGCTATTTCACACCTAAATGAACATTTTTTCACACGTCTGTGCGGACAAAGTTGCAGCATTTCCAGCTGGACTCGTTCTCTCTTGCTGCATCATTATTGCAGGATGATGTTTCAAACAGGCTTTGAAACACATATCTGGTGGTTCGATACGGATTAACCACTCGGTGAATGGGGTCCACCCTGTGAAAACACACTGATGACAATCAGACACACAGATCATTAGCTGTACCCTCCTAACCCCCAACGGAGCCTGGCCTTTGTTTTTAGACACGCACGTGTGCACATATGGACACACATAAAGATATGTGTGTATAATCTTCCTCTGTGTGTCTCTTTTCATCTCTCACACACATGCACATATACACATTGTACTCTCTCCCCTCTCACGCTCACTATCTCTGTCTGTCTCTTACACACACACACACACACACACACACACACACACTCACATGCACACTCCTTTCATTAGTGGGATGCTTGCAGGCACATGCAGGGATTCTCCATTGTGCTCCCTATCAGCCTGCGGGATGGGGCTCACTAATTAATATTTAACTGAAGACCGCCTCCAAGCAGGGGAGGAGAGATAGAGATAGAAGTGTGGAAGGATGGCCATGGAGGAGAAGGGAAGGACAGAGGAGAGAAAAGAGGGAAAGACAGGGATTTGAGAATGGAGGATGATGGAAGAAGGAGGTTAGGCTGCTGGTGAGAGGATAAGGAGGGAGAGATGATGGGAGGAGCATTGCAATAAGAAGAGTTGGAGAAAGGTTGGATT